GAAGTCTTTTCACTTGAGAATGAAGAAGTTAAAATTATCAAAGATGATCCAGAAGGAGACACCACTAACTCTAAACTATCAACTGAAGGTACAAGTCCTCATAATGAACCAGAAAATGTCATTCAGGTAACTGAAAACACTGAAGAAAAATCAACACTGGGAGAACCTGTTGCTACCTTTATCAGTGTGGTTGAAGTTCCCCAGTTTGATCAGGGGCAAGTTGGGATGGAGCCATTAATTTCAATAAAAAGAAGAGAAAGAACATGAAGAAAGGAAAGGCAAAAAAGGCAAAGAGTAGACTCAGAAGATGTTCTGGGAGGAAAAACTTGCAGTCTGCCAGAGGATGAACAACCAGTTTGAAGATCAGAAGACCTCAGGTCCATCTAACTCAGAATTTGGGGAGGTTGAAGTCATTTCTCAAGAAGGACCAGCAACATAGGCTGAGGAGGAGGTGACCAACACTGGACTTAAAGTCTATTTCACCAGCTCTGAACCATTGGTGAAGGAAGATACTAGACCTCACAATGAACGTGTCCCAGAAGAGACTCATATCCTGGAATCTCAACTAAGGAATAATCTGTCTTTGTGTGCCACCCAGATGATATGCAAGATGGAGATGCAAGTAATCTCTTGAACATCCCCTCCCAACTGTCCCAACCCCAGAATGCCAAGTGCAAAGACAACCACAAGACATCAGCAGTTAAGGTAAACAAGGTCCAGGATACTTTGGTGACTACAGATGATCGCTTTAAATATACAAATAAAGGGCCAGATGAGAACTCAACACAGACAGAAGCTGAAGCTACCTCAAACAGTGTGGTTCAAGAATCGCAGTGTGAGAAGGTGGGGATCCAGGGTTCAACCACCACTAGAATGAGAAAGAACAAAAAGAAAATAATTAAGAAGATAAATGATGACCTTGGACCTCCTAATGAGGTCCGATTTCACAACTGCAAAGATTGGCTGACTGCCTAAGAGAGTACCAAACTTGTTTTTTCATGACACAGCAAAATTGCTAAATAATACAATAATATTAGAATGGGGGCAAATGACTATAAATCTGTGTTCCAATTTACTACATCCTTCAAGGACACAGCTGATGTAAGTAGGAGCACCCAGCCACTTCTGATGCAACATGACACAAAATTAATGGTATACATTATTGACAAAAATAACATCTTGATTTTTTGTCATTAGTATTATATTGATTACAGTATTTATATATTTACAATATTTTATGGGAATTCTTCAGAAATGTTATGTGTTTCTATAATGTCTTGGTTAAAATATTTCACAAAAGGTGAATGGACTGTAAAATGAATTTGAAAAAAGAAATATCAAAGTATACCCTCTTATTGATGTTTTATTTGTCCTTTTTGTAAAATCCAAGCTGCTGCCCACAGTCAGCCATGATGTTGGGCCTTGTAACTGAAGGGTAATTTGATGGTATAGTGTTATTCAAACACATTTGCTGCTGATACCCCCTGTGTTATCCTAATGTGTATCAAACTGAATTGCTCTATTAGATTTTCCTGATCATAGGACATACATGCAGCACTCTGTTCATATCTCAGGGGGATTGCACACAGATACTTTGCTTCGTGCTGCGTGTGGCAATTGCATGTAATAGCCCATTTAAAACTGTAAATGTGGAAATACCCATCTTGGTGCTTTTGTGTAACATCCTGGACACTATTTTGTTTGAATAGCAGTCTTGCCGAATTCGAATCTCATCTTTGTTTTTCCAGCCTTTTGCTAAAGAAGTGTTTGTGATACATCTGGTGTGGGGCGATGAGAGGAAGACATCCCTGAGTCACAGCATGGCCTTTCCTGCTCCATTTGAGAAGTGCTTTGAAGACTGGGGCCTTTAAGAACACAGTGTCAATGAAAACACTTTGATATTTTGATCCAGCTGCCACTTTCTGTCTTGTATTTGTGCTGCTCCCTGCTACAAAATCCTCTCCTCTTAGATAATTAGTTATGGTTTCAATGGGGTTTTTAGGCAAATTAAGTTGATGAAAACAAGTCAGGTGCAACAAATTGGTCGGCTAATAACAGTTAATGACAAAATCACTAACTTTCTTTCCTCATTCCTTTCAACTTCCTTTTTGGTGTAACCACAACTAATCATCCTCTGGGGAACAACTGTGGCATGAATTGAATAGCTTGTAGATATGGGATTCAGTTTTACGATGGATACCCTTTATGCAGTAGTAGTATTTAGTAGTACTTTGTGTGTACTTGTTGTGTTAGTAGTATGTATTTTGTAGGTAGTTGTATGTATTCAATAATATATTCTCAAATATTGGTGTTTTGCCTTTGCTTTGTGACTGCAGTGCTATTGTATCTTGTGTAGATGAATCAATTTTCTCTTTGTTTCACCAAACTGCATTGTCAGCGTTGCCTTGATTTTTTTTTTTAACATTCACTGGTGTGTTTTCATGCATCACAGAACTGTTCTTATAGTGCACATGGCATTCCACTTACTCTCAGTGCATTGAATTCATAACCTTCCTCTTCACAGTGTAACCTTCTGACTGCAAAGGTTGTGGAGCGTACATGCCTTAACTACAAGTGCAATAAAATCAATACAGCCTGCTTTGCTTGCTGCACCTTCACAGATTCTTAGTACACATTCTAGTTTTAAGCTGTTAAATCTAAACTTTCTGCAGGCTAAGGTCATACAACAAGTGGAGGATTATGAAATGTATCTCAAAGAGCACATTGAGTGTCTAGTGTCTAGAATAGGAACAAGGGTCCGCAGAAACAATTGCAGCTCTAACCTTTATGAGACAAGGACGCCATTATTTTTCTGTGAATAGCTACTTTTGCAGCTGTGCTCTGTGGTCAGTTGAGATGCTAGTACATACTTAACTCCCTAGCTCTAGCCAGATACTGAAAAATAAAAACAAACAAGCTAATTTGGGAGAATATAAAAAAAAACATTTAAAAGAAGATTGTTTTCACAGAATGGACATGAGTATACACAGTTATAGTTAATAAGCAATTTTGGTGTGAATGAAAATGACCACTAACTTCCAGGCATAATGATGATATCTGATAATAACTGCAGCATTACAGGTTGTGGCTGCTCTGGCTCACACACTAAAACAATGTCCTGCACTGCAAAATGTGGGGACACAGTGCTGTTACTTATATATTTTAAGCTGAATTGAATATGCACAACAAAATATGAATTTAAGTCAAAAAAAAAGAAAACAAATAGATAAAAAACAATTTAATTTAATTTAGCACAGACCGCACACTCAAACAAGAACATTCATTTTAGAAGTACATTTTTACATCTCTCATTTTAAAATTTAAATATGGTCCATTGTATTTTGGAAGATAACGTGTTGTGAGTTAACCTTTAGCTTGACGTTTGATTACAGTGTATATTGTATTGGCTGACAGAAGAATGCAATAAAAATAGATTGGGTACAGAGAGAACTCTCGGATGAGCACACAATAGCACAAAGACAGTGATTTGCTGTATGCATGGCAGCCTGCGTTAATTGGCCACAAGAAGCGTTGCTCTTATCTTTGGAGGAGGTTTTGTGTGCTGTGTTCTCTTTTCCAGCACACTGATCTTGCATTGTGCGCCAAGTCTTGTCTGTTGCAGTCGGAGGGCAGGCCGTTCTCTCCATGCATGGCTCACTGCGCTTATGTAAGAGCACTACTTAAACCTGGTTACATCACAGACAGGCAGCAGTGTGTCAGTGGGTCACTGTGCCACACATCGCGCTGCATGTGGGGCCCTTTAGCGCTTTTGGAGCTGCTCTGTTTGTTCTATGCACACACCTACTCAGTCATGTGTGCTGGCATGAACAGCACACAAGCTGTATCCTCTATGAGAATTAGATATGGTATTGCTTCGTGTAAAATCTTTCAACTGACCATGGTTTCTTGAAGTACAAGTATACACTAAGAGTCCTTCAGTTTTTAAGCGTTTAACTAGTATTGTCATGTTTGACTCATTTCTAACTCCATTTTGTTGTATACAGATTTTTATACCACAACAATAATGTCATTTTCTACACAAAATAATAGTAATAATAATAATAATAATTAATTTGATTTGCACAGCACCTTTTAAGACACTCAACCTGCTTTACTTGATTCTAAAAAACTAAAGGTTCAAGTTTGTCCTATCTATGTATTTTTCAAGATAAAAATTTCCTCAAATTAGTATGTGAGTGTCAATTTTTTGACACTCACATAATGCCTAGTATTAATAGAAATTAAAGTGACTATACCATGCCATGATTGCATTTCAGCACCTTTGTTTACAGACTTTCAGCCATGATTTTGGGTGTTACAGAGTGGCACTGCTGCACCTCGTAAGTGCCAGTAGGGGGTTCTGTCTCTATCCAAATTCCACTCTAACTGCTCATGTATCCTTCTTTCACCTTTTACCCCAGCTCTGGCTCTCCGCGTTCCCTTTGCCAGCTCCGCCTCTCTGCCAGCACGACCGCCCATTCCTGTCTATTCCAGCGACTCGGACGAGGGCAGGACCGGTCACTCCCCCACTCTCTCCCTCTCTCTCTTCCCATAGAAACACACACACATGGGGAGAGAGGGGGCGAGCTGGAGATGGGAGGAGCCTAGTCGTGCTGAAGCCGAGCCCCTCTGTCTAGGCGCACAGAGTGGAGCAGACAGCCCCAGCCGCACACACACACATACACTCTCTCCCTTCTCAGTTACATGCACGGTCACACACCAACCACTGCCGCTGCCACCAAACTGACGACTACAAGCGGGGAGCTCACCGTGAAGAAGAAACAGGACGGATTGTGAAAGAGTTTGGGAAAAACAGGCATCTTTTGGATCCGTAGGCTTTTTGCTGCGTGTGGCATCTGGACTTTTTTCTCCTCTGCTCATCCTTCACACCAGCTATCTACACCTACCTATTTATCTATCCATCGCGGGAGCTTAACAAAAGACAGTGGTAGTTATAGCTCCGGATCCTTTTCTTCATATCCTGAGTTGTCTTTGCAGGATAAATCACAGGCTGGGATACAGCTCTTGGTGGGATCTCCTTCTTGTCTGGTAAAGGAACTGAAGAGAGGAAGAAGATAAACACGCTTGGAAGCATTTCAAGGGACATGCTCGGGGCAGCGGAGGAGAACAACAAGTCTGTTTTTTAGTCCGCAAGGAACCGGCAACTGGATCGTTCCTTTCCTCCTCCCTTCATCCTTCTTGTCTTCTATCCTTGCTTTCCTCCTCTCTCTTCAATTACCTCCATTGTTTCTCCTGTATCTTCCCTATGCCCTTTCCCTACCTCTCTGGATCACCTTGTATTTGTGGATGGACTCAAGTGAAGAATGGTTTAAAAGAAGTACGAGACGACTAGACTGGCTAAAAGTGTACCCCCAAATCCTGCCATACTAACCATCACTGTGTGCATTCTTGTCACAGTACTCTTTCACACCAGCAAGAAGAAGAAGGATTTTTGTTCGGCATCCTCTCTGCTCTTGAAGGATCCAGGCCAGCCAGTCCTCCAGCTTCCGAATCTCCAGCATCCAGGATCTTCAAGAGGATTCCAGCTACATGGGAAAACGTTTGGAACAGCAGCCAATGTACCCCCACTACACCTACTACTACCCCCACTATCTCCAGACCAAGGTAGGCATGCTCATCCCAAATGATTTATTGTATACTCAGATAACAAACTAGTGGAGCAATTGTGCTGGTCCTAAGCCTGGGTAAGTGGAGAGGTGGAAGGATGTTTTGTGCACAAGGCAGTATGCAAATTGAGCTACTACGGTTATCAAACAGTCAGTTCTTTGTGACAGTTCAAACCTGGATAAATGCAGGAACAGTGTAAGTAGGGACAATTGGCATGACAACCAAAGAACTGTGTTTAAGAGGAAGATACGCACATCCCAAGGCCTCAACTGCAGGACTAAAAAGATTTGTCATTAAACTGTGTGTACCCCTCAAAATGTGACGTTTTGACACACTTAACAGAGCTGTGCAGGCTTTTTCACAAATGAATTGGCAAAACATTAAGTTGTGATGTGGAAGATTTGCTGTGGCAACCCCAGAAATGAGATGTGTGTGTCTTTTTTATCAAAATCACAAGGTGTCACATGCGGTTATAAAATCAATTCAGAGAGAGCTTCCAAAACTATTGAAGCAATATGCAAATCACTGTATTTTTTGTGGTGTTAAAATGACCCCAGAATAATATGTTTTTCCCTTCTTTTTCATTTTATTAAAACAATCAATTAGTCTGATGGAGTGTTTTAATTATTTCATTGCTCTCTATGCACTACAAACAATGCAGTTTTTATACTATTTATTTACAACATCACAGTTCCTGTCCTTTTAACATGGTTAAAACCCTAGTCTGCTGTCATTCATGTAGCTTTACTCTGTGATTTTCTGCTTAGAGCACTTGACCCCTCTGTCCCCTCTCTGACCCACCAGCTTTAGGTTCAAGTTCAGGGCAATGGGGCCCGGTCTCCCCTCCTCTTCTCATTCTGCGTCCCTCAGCCTCTTTGTCATGCAACCACCACTACAGCCCTCATCACTGGCCATCCCCACCCCATATTCCCACAGCCCCTTGCGATGATGGCGTGCTATAGACATGATTGATGAAACTTGAGTGTAATGTATAGCTGCAGATATGAATCACATAGAGTTGGGAAAGGCGATCTTGAAAGGAAATATGTGTTATTTTAGTGCTTACATGTACGTGCGCACAGATGTTTCTTACAGTTGAACCTTTTACCACCAAGAAACATGAAATGGATCGCTGAGGTTGCATTGATCATGCTTTTATTGTATGGTCATCCATTTGTGTTGTCTGTCATGATTCATTAGTTTTTATACATGCAGTAGTGTATGAAGGTGGTATGTGGCATTTCAGAAGACAATCAATGCTCAAAGGACAGAAACTGTTTTTTTGTTGCATGATGCAGATGAGATACTGTGTGTGGTCATTTTATGTCAGGAACTAAATTCTAAAAGTAAATTTTTTAGGAATCAGTAATCCTAATTGAACTTCTCACCCAGTACACTGAATTAATCACATGTATTGAATATTTTACACTCTTATAGTTAAAGGTACACCATGTAACTGTTCTGGTAGGTTGTTCTATCAGAGGAGATCATTTTGCTTTTCCTACAGTTTTCCATAGTATGACATTAAACTTATTTATAATGTGTTTATTCAGTTTCATTGCTCAAAAGTACCTTGAAAAACATACATTCTTACTGTGAGCTCACCTCTTCACAGATCTAGACTGTAACTTGACCTGGTGGGGTCATCTGCTTGTTTCTATAGAGGTAAATAAGAAGCAATTCTATGGAACATTCCAGGCAAAACAATATTATCTCTTTGTGACAAGCATGTTACGGACCATCCACCAGAACAGTTACACTGTGCACCTTATCTCCTGCTAATGCTAGGGGTCACAGGTGATTGCAGTCTGTAATTTTGGCTCATAGGCAGACTTAGTACACCATTGACAGTGTCAGTTTGTTGCATAGATGGATAACCTTTCAGTCTTAAATTAATCCACTACATGTGATTTGTTCTTTCACCTCACACATACAGGTCTAGAGGGTGGAACAGGAGAGGACATATAGACTTTTTACAGAGACTGAGCTACCACAGATGTAGTTTTACAGGTCATCCAACATTCAATGGATTTATTTTGACAAACAATATAATAAAGTGGTGTATTGTTCAGACAGGAACAATGCCAATGAAAAAGGTGTCACATTGAAAAAAAAACATTGTGACTGTCACCTCACAAATTACAGTCATTATTAAAGAGTGTTGTTATTTTTCCATATAAAATAACAGCCTTTTCACTTCTTGATAACTTTCATAATACAAACTGTACCATGTATGTAATGTTGTCTTTTTATTACATTTATATATATTTGAGAGTGGCATCAAAAATGTGTAATTATTTTTAGACTAAAATTGTACCCACTTGTTTGCTTGATCACAGTTCAGTGATTCAGTTCCACTCCTGGAGGCTGGTGGAACAGTTTGTTAAGTCAAAATCATAGATGTATTATTCTCTCTCTATATATTATTATTCAAAAAAAAGTATTGCTCCTATCTTTTTTCCATTTTTTATTCTGTTTGATTGAGACTTCATGGTGGTGTTTTTGAAAATACAACTTTATTTGCTATGATTTACCGGTTGTTTTCCCCACCAGAAAACAGATTTTGAAATTCCTGACATGCCTCACACACATCTATGTTAGATTGACTCCCTGGTTTTATTCACATGCGTCAAAGCGTTTTATGTGGACAGATGTCACCGTGTCACTGTGCTGTCTCTTTCTCCATGATTTATCTCTGCCAGTTCAAGGTCATTTCTCAAGTATCTGCAACAGGCAACCGGCCCACACCATCTCTTCATTTCTGCCTTGCCATCTATTGCTACATCCCTCCCACCTTCCCATAACCTCCAGCTCTGTCAAGGTCAAATCAAATTGGATCCTGGCTTCCCCCATGTGTGTCCCCCATCAGTGATGTGGTTGTTTGTCCTGCGCATATCCATATATAAAAGGTGTTTGTGTGTCTGCTCCAACCTGTGACTGCATCCGAGACTTTGTCAATAACTGCTCTTGCTCTGTGTGCTGGTTGCTGCAGGTTTGACCTCTCTCAGTGCAGGTCACTGTCAACTGGATACATGGGGCTTGTGGTATAGATCTCTTCTACTGTCTCTATATTGGTATACATTGTATTAAAGTGTTATAGATGTTAACATATTAAATACAATTTAGAGTACAGACTGGTTCATAAACACATAAAAATGCATAGATAAGCAACTAGCCTCTTTAATGAATGCAGGCTGTTGGCAGCAGGTGACTTTTTCAGGCTGTTCTTTTGCACAGTGGGAGCATACAATAGCAGTACATGTGTTATGTGGCCTTCACAGGTGTTGTGTGTGTTCACTGATGTGATAGAAGATTGAGATGGAGTTTGATTAATCGTGGTTCCAGAGTGGTGGCTCTCCTCTTTGAAATCAATCATAAGTGTGTATGTAGCTGCTGCATACATTTCCTAGGGCATTCCTTAAATGAGCTCTCACTTTACACACTGACACACATTTAGACAAATAACAAATGTCATTATCCTAATAATTAGACCTAATGGCCATATTGCTTTAATCATTTACTTTTAAGGGCCTGGCTCTTCTTTGAATCTTGCAGTATATATATAAACACAGCGGTTCTATGAACACGCTTAGATTTAATATGTAAGCCCACACAGCCCATTTTTGCACAAAGCCAGCCATGAAATGACCGGCTTAAACCAACAATACTTATCCATGACAAAGTGTGTGTGAATGTGAGGCTATTAAACAGAGAATTGCCTTGGTTCTGCCTCCATAATAGGCTATAGGTACAGTTAGTGTACATTAGCCCATGTGAGGGGAGGGGCTGGGGCCCCTTATGTGAGCCTGGTGGCTCTTAATCATGCTGTAAGAGGGTTTGAGGGGATCGCTGCTTGGGTTAATGTTCAGGCACAGATGCACAGTTGTGTTTTCTGTTTGTTAAAATGTAACCACAGGCTACAACTGGTTGGGACTTTGGCCTGAGGAGGCAAATCTGTGATGCTCGCACTATTCGTAATATTCAAATAGTAGACTTTGTAACTGTTGTCATTTGGCTTCTGTGTTGTCCATCTGCATGGTGTAGCTGTCCACTGGGGGTGCTCTGCTCGTCAAAGGCCACTAAAACCTCTAATTAGATCTAATAAAAATGCAACAAATGAATGTGGGCTGTGACTGCTGTTGCAATGATCATGTTTGTTAAGTAGATCATAATAGACTAATCCACGGGCAGTGACCCTTATCTATCCATTAGGTCTAGGATATTACTGGCACAAAAGCCACATGCTTTATATCGATTTGATGTTTGAAGTTCTTTTCCACCTTTTACTTTCTTTTATTTATTTTTGTAGTTGCCTATTTTAAAACCATGCCACTTTGTCCTTGATGATGAGCTTGCTGAGTGTTTTCCTTAAGCCTCTGATGGTGACTGACTAAGGATGTGGAAGTTTCTTGATAATTACCAAGAGCATGATAAGAGGCAGCTTAAGGAAAAAAAAGTCACATTATCAACGGAGCGATCATTAGTTTGCTGCTGATCAGTGTGCTAATATGCTCAGTGGCACACAAGGAGTTTTAATTAGGCTAATGAGAAACAGCATTCAGCTGATATCAAAGTAATGACACATGCGGACACGCCTGGACATCTAAATAGAATATTCAATCACTTCAAAAATGAGCTTTTCACATTCAATTACTCTCTATTATGCACTAGATAAATGCGGTCAGCACTCAGCTTAGCACTAGTGAGTAAACACTAGGGAAGGTTGACTGAAGGAAGGACATGCAAAAAGAGCAAACATTTTAAGGGCACTGAATACCTATCTTGTTTCAGCAATAAAAAATAAAATAAAATAAAACACAAATTATAGCCCGTTAACATTAATATCATATCTAATCAATTTACTCACAATACCTTTAAAAAATGTACTACGTAATTATTATTTTTTTGGTTGGGGGTCTGTCACCTGCTTGTTTTTATGGATATCATAGAAACATCGGATCATTGCTCTGCCTGGAATGTTCCACATTTTAAATTAA